ACAAAAACCTAAAAGTCCATTTTCTGGGAAAACCAGAGGCGCTAGGACCAAAAGCATTAAAATCTGTAATCACTTTCATTTCATACAAAAATTCGATTTTTTTAACAAAAATCTAAAAGTCCATTTTCTGGGGAAACCAGAGGCGCTAGGTCCAAAAGCATTAAAATCTGTGATCACTTTCATTTCATACAAAAATTCGATTTTTTTAACAAAAACCTCAAAGTCCATTTTCTGGGGAAACCAGAGGCGCTAGGACCAAAAGCATTAAAATCTGTGATCACTTTCATTCCATACAAAAATTCGATTTTTTTAACAAAAATCTAAAAGTCCATTTTCTGGGGAAACCAGAGGCGCTAGGTCCAAAGGGATTAAAATCTGTGATCACTTCCATTTCATACAAAAATTCGATTTTTTTAACAAAAACCTAAAAGTCCATTTTCTGGGGAAACCAGAGGCGCTAGGACCAAAAGCATTAAAATCTGTGATCACTTTCATTCCATACAAAAATTCGATTTTTTTAACAAAAATCTAAAAGTCCATTTTCTGGGGAAACCAGAGGCGCTAGGTTCAAAAGGATTAAAATCTGTGATCACTTTCATTTCATACAAAAATTCGATTTTTTTAACAAAAATCTAAAAGTCCATTTTCTGGGGAAACCAGAGGCGCTAGGTCCAAAGGGATTAATATCTGTGATCACTTCCATTTCATACAAAAATTCGATTTTTTTAACAAAAATCTAAAAGTCCATTTTCTGGGGAAACCAGAGGCGCTAGGCCCAAAAGCATTTAAATCTGTGATCACTTTCATTTCATACAAAAATTCGATTTTTTTTAACAAAAACCTAAAAGTCCATTTTCTGGGAAAACCAGAGGCGATAGGACCAAAGCATTAAAATCTGTGATTACTTATATTTCATACAAAAATACGATTTTTTAACAAAAACCTAAAAGTCCATTTTCTGGGGGAACCAGAGGCACTAGGATCAAATGCATTAAGATCTGTGATCACTTTCATTTCATACAAAAATTCGATTTTTTTAACAAAAAGCTCAAAGTCCATTTTCTGGGGAAACCAGAGACGCTAGGTCCAAAAGCATTAAAATCTGTGATCACTTTCATTTCATACAAAAATAGGATTTTTTTAACAAAAACCTAAAAGTCCTGTTTCTGACGAAACAGGCTCAAAAGCATTAAAATCTGTGATCACTTCCATTTCATACAAAAATTCGATTTTTTTAACAAAAACCTAAAAGTCCATTTTCTGGGAAAACCAGAGGCGCTAGGACCAAGAGCATTAAAATCTGTGATCGCTTTCATTTCATACAAAAATTCGATTTTTTTAACAAAAACCTAAAAGTCCATTTTCTGGGGAAACCAGAGGCGCTAGACCCAAAAGCATTAAAATCTGTGATCACTTTTATTTCATACAAAAATTTGATTTTTTAATGAAATCTTAAAAGTCCATTTTCTGACGAAACCAGAGGCGATAGGCCCAAAAGGATTAAAATCTGTGATCACTTCCATTTCATACAAAAATTCGATTTTTTTAACAAAAACCTAAAAGTCCATTTTCTGGGAAAACCAGAGGCGCTAGGACCAAGAGCATTAAAATCTTTGATCACTTTCATTTCGTACAAAAATTAGATTTTTTTAACAAAAACCTAAAAGTCCATTTTCTGGGGAAACCAGAGGCGCTAGGCCCAAAAGCATTAAAATCTGTGATCACTTTTATTTCATACAAAAATTTGATTTTTTAATGAAATCTTAAAAGTCCATTTTCTGACGAAACCAGAGGCGATAGGACCAAAAGGATTAAAAGGATTAAAATTAAGTAAAGCCCTAAATTATTTAAAATGTAAACTAATATGTGGCAGATATTTTAAAATACTTATGCAATTATCGTTCCAACAATATCTTAAACACCGAAATCGGTTTAAATAGTAAAAGTTATAACAAATTATGTTTGAAAAGGGCACAAATCCAAAAATATCTTTGTTTTCTTAATAAAAGAAATATTAGGAAAATTACTTGTGTTATTATCTATCAGCTTCTATGTTGAATTCTTTTAAAGGGCCTGAGTCCCCTTTTCGAATTAAAGTGATCACAAATTATTGCGTGTATTATGCCATTATGTTAGAAACTATACATTGGAAGCAAATAAACTCCAAACTGAATAAAGATCAGAAATATCATAGAAACAGATGAACGACCAAATGTCTACTTATTTAAAATCACTTAAATATTCACTATTTCAAAGAATTCCTAACAAATGAATTTTAAATAACACTTCACGAGTAGCACGTAATAAATTAAATCCTTTTTATAGCTTTAGCGAATAACATTGTGAAATATCGTGGCTACAAAATGTCCAATATACATGACATGTTTTCACACTTTGCTCAAAATACGAATTGTATGTTTAAGGTCATTTCAAGGTGTAAAAATTATTGAATTCAAATACCAAGCAACATCAAACATTAAAGATCAAACGGTAATTATTTTGAAGGATATGTAAACGATTAAAAGTTAGAGAAAGAAAATAATTGTTTCGAAGCGGCAAAACAATTATGATCATGATGATCGATCGGTTTAAAGTGTTTGAAGTCAATGTCAAAATAATTACAAATTTTATGACTTTTCGAGGCCAAAACAAAATATAATAAAACTTTTTTCACGAAGGACGTATATGTTAATTAAACAAAGAGAAATCAAATTAGAAATATAAATTTTGAAATGTTTTCAAAATACAAAATACAGCTGAAATACAAACGAAATAGCCACAGCTATTTCGCTCCGTAGGAGTTTTAAGTTGTAAACAATTAAATAGAACCCGGAATTTAAAGGACAATAGAGAACTTCAACCTGTTTATATTAAAAACTCAAACACCACATACATTTATGGCACTTGCCATTCCAAATAAGAAAAGAATATGAAAATTTTAAATTCACAATTGAACATTTAAATTTAGGGGTTAAAAAGGTCGTTTAGATCGTGTAAGGTGCAGTGCAGCACCCCTGCTCTGCCAGCAGGTTGGTGTGAATGACAAAAAAATATAAAAGAATTAAAACCTTTTTCTTTCGTTATAACGCAATGAGCATGCGCACTTGCACACTTTGTTACACTCGCTGCTTGACATTTATGTCTTTCTACGCTCTTTCCGTATTCGTAGTGCACGTACCTCTGACAACCTGTGTAATTTTTGCAAATATTATACATTTTTGCCTGAACCTCTACGTGTCAGCAAGCGCCAGGATTAGAAATACCAACAAAATAGGAAGAAAAAAAGAAAAGGCAAAAAGGATACAATGAGGTTACAATTTTTTCTTTTTTGCCAAAGAAAAGAAAATATTGTCATGCTGTCTTTGTGACAATAGAATTTTATTGTTTGGGTGAAAATGTATAGAAAAGACTAGTAGAAATAGGAAAAGGTAGTAGTAGAGTGAGTTTCGTTAGACTTTATGCTGATTTAACTTTGTGGGAGATGGCGCCGATCCTGTTGCGATCTGTTTGGTTGGATTTCAATTACAATATTTGTTTCTTCGTGCACAACAAGTGCCGTTTAAGATTTGTAAAAGTCATTAACTGACTTTTGTTTTGCCAATTCAAAACGTGTAGCGTAAACAATTTGCATCGTTTTGGAATAACAGGTTGAATTTTTATTGTTTTTCATATTTTCCAAAAGGACAATAAGAAGGAAATACAAAAATGGTTAAGATTACATTGCTTTATATAACAAGTAAAACCAGTAAAATGGTAGAAATATTTTAAATTTCAAGTACCATTTCTCCACGAAATGTCAAATATGATTTAAAATAAAATATTCAACCCCGGAATCCCAATAGATCCCTTAATATCATTGTGGATTCGTTTCAGAATTGTATTAAGAATAAGATAAACTAAAGAATCGTACAAATATTTCGTTCCTTCACGAAGCACTATACCGAGAATCTCACATTAACAGACCACACAACCAAAAGAACACATTAAATACAACTTGAAAGTTATTTTGCGACATTGTTCCACTTTTGCAAATTGAGGAGTTTCCTGGGAGGATGTCCTATTAAATGATGCGAACATAAATTCACAGTAGCTGGTCATTAAAATGCAATTCTACAACAATGGCTGATGGTGGTCTCAACACTTGTTCTCATCTCTAAAACCATATGATGGACAAAGTAGCAGTGTAACACCCACTCGTAAAAAAAAATAATAAAAATTTTAAATTCCAATCAAAATAACGAAATATTTAAACAAAGACTACACAAAGGTCATCAAATCAAGAGAAAGAAAGGAACTCACTGATCTATTGACACTTGTGTGCAAAATTCTAGAAAAATATAAAGAAATTATTTGTTACAATGAAAAATCGATAACGGTAGATAAGGCTACCGAGTCTTCTAGCCAGGAAACAATAGTCAATCATTAATACATGACTAAAAACCATTAAATCTAGAACAATGCAAGACATCATAGAATTGAAAGATTGAGGTCCATAACAGATTTTCAATTTATGAGCACAGACATCTCAGCAAAAAAAAAAAAATACTGGTAGAAAAATATCAAATTTTTTCATACACAACAACAAGTGCAATTTTTCAATTTCAATCTCCTGGAAAACGAAGTAAAAAACCAATACAATTTAAAAGATTTTGTAACAGGTACAATCATGACCAGAAGAGATGTTATGAAAATGATATGAATTTGTTTTTATTTTTTCACCATAAAAAAACTCACAAAAGGAAACAATAAGGACATAACAATTGTTTGCAGTTTTTTAACATAGACTTCCTTTGTCTGCAGTTAAATTAAGAAAATTCTGACTACTTAAAGAAAACACACAAACAAAATCTTGGAAAGATAAAAGTCATTATTATTCTGGCACTTGTGTTTTATGTCCTGAGAATCAACATAACGATGGCGATCATGAGTATAAAACTGTTTTCTTTGTTTTCTTAAAGGCGCCTTAAGTTTTCATAGATTGTGGTCAAAGTGGTACTTACTCTTCGTCGCCTAATTTATCATCCATACAATGTCCTTTTGTTGAAATTATTTTGGCATCTGAAATAAACAAAAAATAGTATTTGTATTAAAAATTGAATTTAAAATTAAATTCAAACAGAGTTTCTATCGATTTTAGGAAATATGTATTAAAAAAAAATATATTATGTATTCAATGATACTGATAATACTTTTGGCACATCATAAAAACGGTAAAAATTCTGGGAAATTATTCAAGATTAATGTTCTTTATCAGAAGATTTTAGTGTGAAAAAATCTTAGCATAATAAAGTATTGTGGTAGTAGTTGTAGAAAAATAGAAAGCAGGCTAATGATAATAAATGATTTATTTCATTATAAGATAAGATCCAAAGAACGAACGGTGACTTTATTGACTAAGTTGGAATTTAGAAAATATATTTCGAATGAAATAACTTAAACATACAAGAAAACTTTCCAGTAAAACATGGTAATCACTTGTACTTAATCAACAACTTACTTTTCAGTAACTACTACATACCGCCTGTATTACTTAGAAGTTTAATATAAATATTATGTAAGTAATTACTTTTTAGCCTTGACATATTGTTTTCGAACTTAGTTTTTAACACGAACGAACGGACGTATCCGGTAGCCATGTAGTACTACCTAACTCCCTATTTGTAAGGGGGCATGGTAAGTACTGCTAACTTAAAAATCGATGGTCTTACATAGATTGGCTGGGTTGTGGTGAAATGAATGGATCTAGCAATAGGTACCTATCTATCGACAGCTATCTATCTAGCTAGCGAGCTAGCTACTAGCCGATCAGCGAGCGAGCTATCCGAGAGCGATCGTAGCGATCAGCGAGCGACGACGAGCTAGCATCGACTAGCAGACATCGAGCGAGCGCTAGCGAGCGAGCGAGCGAGCGAGCGAGAGAGCGAGCGAGCGAGCGAGCGAGCGAGCGAGCGAGAGAGCGAGCGAGCGAGCGAGCGAGCGAGGAGCGAGCGAGCGAGCGAGCGAGCGAGCGAGCGAGCGAGCGAGCGAGCGAGCGAGCGAGCGAGCGAGGAGCGAGAGCGAGCGAGAGCGAGCGAGCGAGCGAGCGAGAGAGCGAGCGAGCGAGGAGCGAGCGAGCGAGCGAGCGAGCGAGCGAGCGAGAGCGAGAGCGAGCGAGCGAGCGAGCGAGCGAGCGAGCGAGCGAGCGAGCGAGAGCGAGCGAGCGAGCGAGCGAGCGAGCGAGCGAGAGAGCGAGCGAGCGAGAGCGAGCGAGCGAGCGAGAGCGAGCGAGCGAGGCGAGCGAGCGAGCGAGCGAGCGAGCGAGCGAGCGAGCGAGCGAGCGAGCGAGAGCGAGCGAGCGAGCGAGCGAGCGAGCGAGCGAGCGAGCGAGCGAGCGAGCGAGCGAGCGAGGGAGGAGCGAGCGAGCGAGCGAGCGAGCGAGCGAGCGAGCGAGCGAGCGAGCGAGCGAGCGAGCGAGCGAGCGAGCGAGCGAGCGAGCGAGCGAGGGAGCGAGCGAGCGAGCGAGCGAGCGAGCGAGCGAGAGCGAGCGAGCGAGCGAGCGAGCGAGCGAGCGAGCGAGCGAGCGAGCGAGCGAGCGAGCGAGCGAGCGAGCGAGGAGCGAGAGAGCGAGCGAGCGAGCGAGCGAGCGAGCGAGCGAGCGAGCGAGAGACGCGCGAGGAGCGAGCGAGCGAGCGAGCGAGCTAGCGAGCGAGCGAGCGAGCGAGCGAGCGAGCGAGCGAGCGAGCGGGCGAGCGAGCGAGCGAGCGAGCGAGCGAGAGAGGCGAGCGAGCGAGCGAGCGAGCGAGCGAGCGAGCGAGCGAGCGAGCGAGAAGCGAGCGAGCGAGCGAGCGAGCGAGCGAGCGAGCGAGCGAGCGAGCGAGCGAGCGAGCGAGCGAGCGAGCGAGCGAGCAGCGAGCGGCGAGCGAGCGAGCGAGCGAGCGAGCGAGCGCGAGCGAGCGAGCGAGCTAGCGAGCGAGCGAGCGAGCGAGCAGCAGCGAGCGAGCGAGCGAGAGCGAGCGAGCGAGCGAGCGAGCGAGCGAGCGAGCGAGAGAGCGAGCGAGCGAGCGAGCGAGCGAGCGGAGCGAGCGAGCGAGCGAGCGAGCGAGCGAGGACGAGCGAGCGAGCGAGCGAGCGAGCGAGCGAGCGAGCGAGCGAGCGAGCGAGCGAGCGAGCGAGCGAGCGAGCGAGCGAGCGAGCGCGAGCAGCGAGCGAGCGAGCGAGCGAGCAGCGATCGAGCGAGCGAGCGAGCGAGCGAGCGAGCGAGCTAGCGAGCGAGAGAGCGAGCGAGCTAGCGAGCGAGCGAGCGAGAGAGCGAGCGAGCGAGCTAGAGCGAGCGATCGATCTAGCTAGCGAGTCTATCTATCGATATATTATATCATCTATCTATCATCTATCATCTATCTATATCTATCTATCTATTCTATCTATCTATCTATCTATCTATCTATCTATCTATCTATCTATCTATGTAATTATGCAAATACAGGTCGGAATTTTGAAGAATGAAATTTGGTACAAGATCCTTCTATTGTCCTTTGAATACGGTTAATATCGGTCCATTATTTTACCCTGCTCCCATACGAATGAACCTCCCGAATAGGTATTTTAGCTCATAATTATGTTTAATATACTCGTATCTCGAAGCTCATAAAAATACCACTTTAGAAAATGAGTTAAATGTCCACAATTCGCTTAAAAAGGATAATGTCACGATAAAATTCGGGATAAATACTTTTTGCTGTAAACGTTGATTCTTTCACCAAATATTATGAGGATCGGTAAACATTTTACCCCAGCCCCTATATATAAAGCCTATTTCAGAATATTAGTTTTTCATCAATAAATTGATTAAATATATCGGAAGCAAGGTACAATTCTAAATGCTTAATTATGAAAAGAATCAAATTTTATTTTCTTAATTGCTGTAGGGTATTTTATGGTCGCCCACTCCCTACTATAATTTCTTGCTTGTTTTAATACTACAATTTTGACGGATCTGGACTAAAGTATTCATTTGTGTATGCATTCAAGTAAAATGAAAAACCTGAAAATGTTCAATACCTCTGAATAGATTTTGTTCAAATTTACCCTAGTCAAATCATAAGCACATGTAGGGGATCAAATGTTAACATATTTAATGATGCTTAAAAAATAAACAAATTTGATTACATTTATTAAATTGTTCTCATTTACACCATGGTTTTAATGACTTCATAAACAACCAAATAATTTGAATGTTTAGATTATATTATTGTAAACATTTAAGTTTTTTTTTAAACAAATTTTCTTCTTGTTGTCCTGTTTTTAAGTGACAATCAGTTGGTCTGAAATCATGGCACGAAAGTGTTTTCTAAATGATTTTTTACAACTATTTATAATTATTCTTTCTAAAATTATTGCCTGTTTATTTTCAAATATATTCCAAAACATTTATATAAAAAAACAATTTATCAATATTTTTTTAACGTGATAACAATCCGTTCATAATAAATCTTTAATAAATTTTACAAATACATTATCATAACAATACAAGAGCAATTTGGAAAAAAGGATTATAATCAAAATAGAAAAATAAAAATAATATTCAATCAATAGCAAAAGTGTTAATAAAATTATTTTGCATAACAAACAAACAAATAATAACAAAAAGGGTAAAAAGAGGAAATAAATCATCAATGCAAAATACAAATGAAAAAAAAGACAATTCGAGAAAAACTATTTTACATTTGAAATAAAATGTAGGACACGTGCTTTAGAATAACGCTCTAAAACAAGAAACAAGATACGAGGATACGATTGCAAGGATACGTTTGAAAAATAGTGTAATAAAAAGAAAACCAAAAATTTATGCTAAACACTTCCGAACGGAAGATCTCCTACAGTGCGAACCCAAACATAATGACACGTACTATAAAATCACATTAAATGATAAAAGTAGTTCAGGCAAATTACAGTGTCATGTAAATTCGAACTACACATGTATGTATAGGTATATTATTTAGTGTGCCAGTATGTGTTTTGTTAGGAATAATATAAAAGAAATATTCTTTTTCTATTCTTACACTATAGGAGTACAATGCGTTAGAAAACTAATTATTTTTTTAGATTTGGCGCTCTTTTCTTTAGATTGTAAAAGGCGTTTGATGTTTAAGAAATAAAATATTTACACATACATACCAATATATCCTTTAAGGAATTTAGGTCATGAGTTCATAAATTCATTCACTTACTCGCTCGCTCATTTAATGAACTCCTACTGTTATCTAACAAATATTAACCGCGAAATAATATTTTTTTATTATTTCTTAGTTTCCTTAATAACAGACATAATGAAAAAAGACAAGCTGTTAATTATTTTGTTTTTTAGGTGTACATGCACCTGACTAGTGCAAATGAAAAACACAGAGTTCCATTTAGTGTAACATAAGGTTCCACATTTGAATTGTCTAAGAAAATACGTCATACTTTTGAATTGTCGTATATCTAAGTATTTAAAAGCGAATGAGTGAGTGCTTAAGGAGTCACTTGCAGCAACAACAATATCACTTGGTGGTGTTTGTACCGTTGCAACCCTCTACTAACTGATCACTCAAGCATTTCACCGGGTCACCAGGAAATAAACTAAATTTTTATTATAATTTTGTTTCTGTAATTTTTTAAGAAAAACCACCAACTGTTTGTTGTAAATTTATGTTTACAGCAGCAGCACGAGTCAAATTAAAATTTGAAATTATTTGGAAAATTTATAAAGAAAATTTAAAACACCTTTAATTTTTGTTTAATTTTTTCAAAATATTTAACTCTTGTTTTCTCTGTTTTTTATTCAAATTTGAATATTTATTATTTTGTTGAAAAAAGGATACGCTCATAAAAACCATAATAAATTTGGTTTATTTAAATAGGAATGTGAGTAGTGTGTGTCAGGTGGTCATACAGATGATATTATTAAAAGTGATGAAAATAATATTAATGATAAAAAAACAGTGTCGATTAAATGTTAAAATATAAGACGAAAATTTCTGCATGTTTAATGAAAACCTTTTGAAAATATCTTTTAGAAGAGCAATGCAGACTGGATATGT